TTTTTTCAAGGATAGTGCCACGTAGGCCGAAAAGGGGTAGAAAATTATATATAAAATAAGTTTGGAGGGGTAATAGGACCTTAGTAGAGGTTAGATGTATCTCAGAGTTTAGTTTTTTCTCAGAGTTTTGGGGCATGGGCTGGGGGTACTTATGCATTTCCCCTGAAATTTATACTTTAAAAGTTTGAAATTTAAATTTTACTAAATAATTTATTTAATTTTTGTCAAGGTTGATTGTTTTGTCCATTTGGAGTGTGATGTGATAATTTTTAAAAATAAAAGAAAGAGAGCGTATTACACACACCATGACGAGAATAGTATAAAAGAGAGGTGTGTTTCTCAAACTAAAAAGTGATAATTTAGATATGAAACTCACACTCTCAATAGTTTAAATATGAAACTAAAAAAAAGTATAATTAGGTGTGTTTTTGACAATTATGTCTTTATTTTATGGGAAAATGCATAAGTACCCCCCAGCCTATGCCCAAAGTCCCTGAGACACACCTAACTTTTACTAAGGTCTATTACCCCCCCCCCCAGAACTTATTTTTTAATTAATTTTCTACCCCTTTTTGGCCTACGTGGCTGAGTCCATGACTTCACCTATGTTAGGCGCATTGGTGCAGCTTTTAGACAACACTGACCAATAAAAATTGGCCACGTGTTAAAATAAACATGAAAAAAATAAATATTAACTCAGTTGTCTTCTTCTTTATCAGTGTTCTTCATCTTTGAAAAAAAACACCTTCATTATCATTCAAGTTAAATTGCTCCTTGCTTCGAAAAGGTAAAGTAAATTTTTAATATATTCTTTATATTTACATCTTTTTATGTCGATTATTAGTTCTGATTTTAAATTTCTTTCACAATTTTTATTTATAAATGTTAGGGTGATGACAAAATCTGAGTTGAATAAGTTGTGTATGGATGAGAATGATTCAATGCTCAATGCGGAACTCCGATGCAAGCATGGATGAAGGTGAAAGTCTTCGAAATCGTTATGAAAATCTCAACATCAATTCAAAGGAGAAGGGTGGCGATGTAAAAGAAATGGGTGATTTGAAAGAGAAGAAGATGAAAGGAATGAAAATGAAGAAAAAGGATGAAGGTTGTCGTTGTTTTGGGAAATTCCTTTGTGAAGATGAAAGGGATGAAAATGAAGAAAAAGTGATAGCTTTTTGAAATTTTGGGAAGTGTAAAAGCTACTTTTGAACTGATAGCTTACTTTTTAGAAAGTTGAAAAAGTGGGGCCCAGCGCGTGTTGAACAAAGCTTTCAACATATCTAATTTATATTGCCACGTAGGTAAAAAAGTGGTAAAAAATTAATTAAAAAATAAGTTCGGGGAGGGGGAGGGTAATAGGACCTTAGTAAAGGTTAGGTATGTCTCAGGGATTTTGGGCATAGGTTGGGAGGTACTTATGCATTTTACCTTTAAACTTTAAAAGTTTAAAAGTATAAATTTTTATCTTTAAAATTATAAAAGTTTTAATATTATTTGATTAATGTTCCCAATTTTTTAATTTTAATAAGTAATTTTATTTTTTTTGAAAAATATAGCCGTTGGGACTCGGTTTTCGGTCCGGTCCGGTCTCGGTACGGGACGGATACATTTATATTTTTCCAAAACTACCGGTTCCGGTACGATTCAGCCCCGTGGTACCCAGTTCCGGTTCGTCCCGGTCCGGTAGTCTCCCGTTGCCAGCCATACTCATCACTTTGCCAAATTAACCCTTAAACTCGATGAAACTCTATTTTCTAAACCCCTCTTACCATTGACCGAGCTTATGTGACATTAAAATAGTTGAGTTGGACAAATGTGAGATCACATGCGTTTTAAAGCAAGTGAATGTAATATTTTTATTTAAAAGTTATCAAAATTATAAGACAAAATAATAATAATAAATTAAAAAAAGAAAAAAAAAATCTCAAAACCTTTCATCTTCAGCCCACCCCACCCCTTCTCTCTTCTTCTTCAGCCCCACCCCATGTTTTTTCTCTTCTTCTTCAGCCCTAACCCCACCCTTTTTCTCTTCTTCTTCAGCTTCAAACACCCTCCTCACCCCCGCCCCTACCCCTTTTCTATTCTTCTTCTTTGAGATACACTCCATCACCATAATCATCAAATATAAAATTAAAAAAAGCTTTTGCAAGAAAACATATCATTCATCAATTTCATAAATTTAAAATCTATTGCTTGAATTTACTCATAAATATATCTTTTTCAACGTGAGGTTTTCCTGATTATTTTTATCAAATCAAAATAAATAGAACCTAAAGTATGTGCAAGAGCTAATTACAATATATCATATTTTATTATTGAGAAAAAATTTGAGTGTGAAATGTGAAGAAAGATGAAAATGATGGTTTTTTTATTTTTGAGGTGAGGCATAAAGGTGGATGGGAATGAAGAAGATAAAGTAGGTAGGGGGAAAAGAGAGAGAAAATTGCACTTTTTATTTTTTAATATTATTTATTTTTAAAATTTGATTTTTGATGTGTCATTGGAATAATAATAACAATGACGTGTCATTAAAAAATGGCGTGGTATTTCATGTGTAAGAAGAGTGTATTACATGCACACACATTAGATGAAAAAAAGGTTTAAAATATTGTGTTTGAATGAGTTTAAGGGTCCATTTGGTAAAGCCACAAGTACATGGGTTCAACTTACAAACAGAGCCAAGAACAAAGGTCTCCCAAGTAGACTTCTTTCTCAGCTCCATTCTTTGTTTTAGAACTTTTAATATGCTTAAAATACCAAATGAAAACTGTCTGAAATCCTTCATTCTGAACTCCTCAACCCCCAAATTAAATCAAGAAGAATGCCACAAAAAAACACTTTATTCTAAACTTTAAAACTTTCAATATGCTCAAATATCAAATACACACAGTTAAAATTCTTAAATACACATGCAACAAAATTTATACTAGAAAATCAACAACTTTGATTTCATTAAAAAGGGCTATAACTTCCTCAAACGATAGCGAAATATTCTAATTCTTTTTTCCTATATGTCTTAGATAATGGTATAGACCTACGAGTTCAACCATGACTCAATTTTGTGCTCATTTATATCTAGACAAATATTATTTTTGCTCAATAAATAATTATTTCATTTATCATGATAAAAGTCTAATTTCGACTTCGCGAAAATACATCAAACTTTACCGATATAATTCATGCTCAAACTTTCAGAAGTTTTGGAATAATATTTTTATCTTTAAAACTAATATCAAACTTTTTAGTTGGCACAATTTGCTAAAACAATACCAAAGCACCCAATAATCTTAAAAGTCACCCAAAGGCTAAAACTCATATGAAAACCTCCCGAACACAAACCAAATATGCTACTATCTTCGAAATGATATTTCAGACACAATGACATGAATGTCGCCTTAACCCAATGTTGACCAAAATCAACTTTAACTTGAGAATTTCAAATTTTTTAAATAAAAGGATATGAAGCTCATTCAAAAGTTTCGAAAACTAAAATAGACCTTCAACTAGGCCAAATACCACCCTTCGAACCTAGTGAAATCATCAAAACTTGAAAACGACATTTCTAACCTCAAACGTTAACTAAAGTAAAACTTTAGCCTTAACTTTTCTAGCATCTCGTCTAATGGCTCAAAATCAAATAGAAACCTTAGGACCAAACCAACAGTAAATCTAGACCAAAAACCAGATTTCAGAGCTAACAGAACTTTCAAAATTTCATATATGAGTTTGTTATCACCAAATGTTGACTTCGGTCAATTATCTTATCCTTTCAACTTTCAAAACACAAAAAATTCTTTCAAAACTCATTCAAATACCTCAGGACCTGAGCCAATAGTCCTATCAACCGAAAAGTCATGTTCTGTAGCTAATGGAACCGACATAGATCCATTTCGATACTAGAAACTCCAAATGTTGATTAATGTCAACCATTTCAACTTTAAAACCTTCAAAAACCAAAATCTTTTTCAAAACTCACAACTTTTCACTCTGATTCCCAAATCAACCATACCAATGGAACAAAATTGCTCGATGCAATTTTTGAGGAAGGTAAAATGGTAATTTTCCAGAAAATTCTAAAAATGACATTCGAAATCGTTACATTATCCACCACTAAATAACATATTTGTTCTCGGACATAAAACAAAAAAAAGTACTTGAAGTCTCGAAAAGCTATGAATATTTGACACGCATATGACTATTGAAAAAATTAAAAATAACTTACACATATAAATTAACTTATATAATCAATTTATATTGAAGTTTGATTAAAATATAAATTAAATTTTAATTTGATTTATTAGAGTAATAAAAAATTGTAATAATTAATATTTTATAATGTTAAAAATTTAAGAATATTACAAAGATTTTAACAATAAATTTATTTTTCAGTTTAAGCATATTTATCCAAACATATAAATATTTATTTTTAAAATAAATTTCAGTGTTTTAAAAATGCTAATAAAGTACATTTTAATGGTTTTTTTTCCTTTTGGGGCGGGGAGGGATTTTACAAATAACCACTATAATAGACTTATTTAGGTTCCTTAGCTATTGTTTCCATATTTACGGGTCATACCTATAGTTTAAGCTGCTATGGGCAACCTTATTTAGTATAACTCACGTGTACGGTTGTATAATTCACATATGTTTGTATAATTCACGTGTATTTATATAATTGAGTTATTTTCGTTCGTATGTGTATAAATTGGTTGGTATAAATTAATTTGTATTTATTTTGTATAAACTCGAAATAACGAATTTATACAAACACAAACAGCCTAAGGCTTCGCTCTATTACCTGTGTTGTAAGCTTTCCAGTCTTTGAATTAAGGTTCAGATGCAGACATTCTGGAATCAGAAACGAAAAAACCTAATTCAGCTCCACGTAAGATAGCCAAAGTACAGTTGAGCAATCGACATGATATATTTTGGGATTGAGCATGGACGAACCTCGACTGGGCCAGCATTGATGAAAAAAGAAAAACTTGGAGTTTGGGCAGTTGGTCGGAAAGTACCTAGTTCACCGGTGACCATACTTTTGTAAAAGCACCATTGGGCGGTGCCTCTTCTCTTTTTAGTGGGTGAGGAACTCTGAACTTTAAATAATTATACAAATTACATTATACAAAAGTCCGTCCGTGTTTGTATAAACTGGTTAGTATCAATTGATTTGTATTTATTTTTGTTTAAACTCGAAACAACGAATTTCTACAAACACAAACATCTGAAGTTTAAACAGTTATACAAATTACATTATAAAAAAGTTATACAAATTTAAAAAATGACACATTTATACAACTGAAACTCAACTGCATAATTTTTCCTAGAAATTAGTGGTAAATCATACTCCCTCTATCCCAATTTATGTGACTTACTTTCATTTTTAGTCAGTCCAAAAGAGAATGACACATTTCTATATTAAGTAACAATTTAACTATAAAATGTCTATTTTACCCTTAATGAAATGATTTACAGCCACACAAATTTTTATCATTCATTTTGGACTGCAAGTTTTAAAAGTCTTCATTTCTTTCTTAAACTCCGTGCCAAGTCAAACTACCTCACATAAAATGGAACGGAGGGAATAATTAATTAAACTCTAATTATATTAATTAATTAATTAACTAGTATATATTTGTTTATGCGCATAATTTTTCTCTTTTTTGTTTTCCCAACTTCAATTTTCAACAAAATAAGTCATATATAAAATAATTTTAATTAGAAAAATGCTAGTAATGAAGACCAGGCTAAAAGAAAGAGTGTTGTGGGCATATCATAGCAGTTGACGAGGTCCTTAAGCAAATAGGGATGGAGTTGGCAAGCAAAGTCGGAGACGCAGTGATCAAAGCGCTGAACAGCAACAAAGTGTTGAATGTAGTGCTAATGAGTGCATTTGGGTTGCTATGTCTGAGATCAGTGCAGCAACAAAAGAATATGGAAGTTCTTGAGGCAGAAAAGGACTCTTTGCTCAATTCTAATAAAGCTATGAAGAAGACTATGTGGGATTGGAAGCAGCAGCTTTTTGCTGAAGCTGATTTACCCAATCCCCTTATTCCACTCTCTAAGCTTAAAGCCATTTATGGAGAAGTCCAAACCACCACATCGACTTCTGGTATGACTTTTCTCTATTTCTTTCTCTATCTGCTGGAATTATAGCATTTGAGCTTTCTGAGAATTGCACAAATTAGCTGTGCTGCGAATGATTTTGTGGGTTTGGCTTGTTTGGATTTGAGATTCAATGATTCTTCTGTACTTTGCTCTATGAAAAATGGTCACTAATTAGAGGAATAGGGGTTGAAAGAAATTTAAGGTGGTTGGGTTTAGTCTGTTGTTAGGGTTTAGGGTTTTACCTCCCATAAATTTGCTGCGTCAACTTGTTAGATAAATTATGATCACAAATTTGAGGGATTGAGATTAGGTTGGTTACTGGAAATAAGTACTTGATGGGGTTTCATTGTACATGCCCCAGTTTCTCTGCTTCAAAGTGTTCAGATTTCTGTATTAGATCAAGTCTGATACAAGTATTCATTTGGTCTTGTGGCTAATATTATATTCAACGAAATTTTACGTGGACAGGTGCAACTTAGAGGTTTATCCAAGACATAGCTAGGTTTAGACTTGATCTAGTTACTAAAAGCACTATAAACATAGCAGTACTTACCAAAGATAAGTTCTTTTAGAAACCTCAGGTTGATGAAGCCTAGTTTGCTTTATAGAAATGTGATTACTTGAAATTGTATGGGTGCAAGAGCTGGTGAAGCAAGCGCTCACCTGGTGTTGTAACCCCTATTGATATAGTCTGTTGCTACAAACAATCAAAGATGTCTGATGGTGGAATGGAATTTCATAGAAGAAGTAAAAACCAGATGCATTTTTAAGTGTATCATTTCTACATGTATAGATGAGTGGGTATTATTTGTAGAAAATCATGTCCTCTTGTTAGGTTTTCTACTTTTGGTATACTTCTTGTATATGGGCAACCTTTTACCCTTTTCTAATGAAATTTATTACTTCATCAAAAAATAAAAATTAAGTGCATCATTTCTTTATAACTATATTAAACTGTTAGTCGGTGAATGTTGTTCATTCCATTAGTTGGATCTTTCGCCTGCTCTTGCAGCATTTTCCATGTCCTTCCTTATCATCGTTCATCATATGCTACTTTTGGTGTTCCTTTTGCATTTATTGAAGTAAATCTCTCTGGACTTTCATTTCTTCAAGAATCAAGATGTTGGGAAGCAAAATTCTTCAAGCTTTATGATAAAATAGTAAACACTCCATTCGTGCAACTAATGAAATGATAATTGAAGTAATGTTTCTGCAAAAATTGGTAAAATTACCAAATAAAGTGATTATGCTATTAGAAGTCGTATATATGAGGTATCAGAAAATATAATCACAGTACGAAATTTTGTAGTATTACCTCTGCTTAATGTTTTCATTTTTGAAATAATAAAAACCCACTTAACTTATTATGGTTATCTTTATATTATTTTATACTGGTTAATTTTTGCTTCACTCTTGAATCAGACCACTGAGAATCTACCAAAGTGGCAAAACCTTGATAATCTTTTCCTCTCCCTCCTTTCTATTCTCCTTTGCATATTACAATTCTTTTAGACAGTTTTTGGTGATCATCCACTCCGCTGATTAAGCCTAGCTTCATCAATAGAGAAATCATGTCATTGTACACCAAATTATGTTTCTAGCTACGGACAATCATGGAAACATTAGCAATAGGTGGACGATAAGTCAAAACAGGGCAGTCTCTTGCCTTTTCGATATTTCAACAGACACAAGATATTTGAGTATTCTAACTCAACAAGAAAAAACAAGAAGAATTTTCAGAGCACACAAGATTATAGCCTAGTAATTTATGAAGTGGGTGGAAACCTTGGGAGCAGGGTTCAAGTTCCAGCAATGACAAAAATCAACTTGTTGGCAGAGTTATTCGATACTTGTGCTGGTGGGAGGCAGCATGTACCCTGTGGTAGTAAAGCTGTGGAATAATTGGTCCAAACACCACCATTATAAAGAAAAAGAGAAAAACAAGATTCATCATGGGGCTAGATTCTTCATTAAACATTAAACACCAGAAAGGTAGACATTGCCGATAAATATGGAGATTCATTGCGAAGAGTCCAAATGCCCTGCTAGAAAATGCTCAATAGTCTACAAAGCCAGTCTTTTAAAGGAAAGCTCTCCTAACAGAAATGTAAGTGTCATTAATGAAAAACTGTCATAAATGAGAATTGTACCATCCTTAGGATAAAGTTCCTCAAAAGATGTCTAGTAGGAACATCCTAACATGTTAACACATGCACTTAATGGAGTGGTTGACTCCAGAAGGAGGTAGGGGAAGTTGGAAATGTTGAGCATATTAGACCTTGAGAGCTCATGTGATCATGTGAATTGGGAGTTCTTGGATTTCATAACGTTGTAGACAGGATGTGGATTAAGTTCTCCCTATCAATGACCAGATTCTCAGTCCTAGTGAATGGTAGACTTTTAGGAGAAAAGAAAAAGTTGTGAAGATCTTCCCAATATTTTATTCGTGCAACGGTTTATTAAATTCATAGCTTATTTGCAAAATGTAATAAAGTACCACATGAAATTTTTTGATGAAGTAATAATAGATTTCAATACTGGCATCAAGAAGATGCAAAAACTTACAGAAAACCTTTGTAGCTGCATTACATAAAGAACTATGCTAGTGCTAGGGAGCTAACAAAGTTCAAAAAGGTTTCAGGGTAATCTACCAGAGAAGTATTTTTCCACATAAATAGAAACATCAGCCATTGGGCCTTGATGGAATAATTTGGAGTTGATGAACCATCAAAACATCTTTCTGTTCCTCTTTGTCCACATACTTGCAGGTATCATTTCCAGATTTCCTTGATGGCCTTATCAACTTTCCAACTACTCCAACCTTCATTGACCTCTTAAATGATCTGTGGGATTGCACAGCTGAGACCAAAAATAGAGTAGAACAAGCACCATATGTGACTAGCAATTTTGCAGTCGAGGAATAAGTGACTGTTGGTTTCTACCTCCTGTTGACACATGTAGCATCCGTTGACTATTTGGTCACCCCTTTTCTCGAGATTGTCTTGGGTGAGGCATGCTTTATAGTGTCCAGCAGAAACATCTAATTTTTTTGGGCAGCTTAGACTTCCACGGCCAGTAGTAAATCAAATTATTTGTAGCACGAGTTTGCATAACCCGCTTTACCTGAGTACCTGCCATCATTTGCACTGCCCCATCTTAACTTATTTGCTGCCTGCAAATTCAATCTGTATCCTTCGAGCCTGGAGATTCCTTTTGGAAAGAAGCTGCAGGTTTTGCCTTCTTTATTCCGAGAGATATAGAGTTTGGCTCACTAGAATTTGAAAAATGTCGGGGAATTCATCCTTGAGGATTGTGTTGTTTAACCGACTATCTTTCCTGAATGTGGTGTGTAGACCATTGCCTGGTATTAATTGTGTTCTCTTGAAAGAGTTCCTCCTTAAGCTTGCTATACTCAAATATTTCGTACATAAATTCTTAGCTAAAGGTGTAAGATTTATCAATGTAAAGCCATCCTATCACTTTATGAGATCCTGCGAGTTTCAAACTGTGGGGAAGAGTAGAGGGACAAGCACATTGTCCACCGAGTTCCAAACCATGCACCATTGACCCTTGGGGATTTCTTGGTTATAAGAAAAGAACCTTCTGTTCTTTTTTGTTTTCTCGAACTCGGTGTAGTTCTTTTTAGATTTAAATCTTGTGAGTTTGGTGATAGCAAAATTCTTGTAGGCTGTAGCAACTTCTAAAATATCCCCTCTTTAAGAGTTTGAGATTTTGAAACTATATTTAGTTCTATCTTTTCTCTTTTATGTATTGGCAAAATGGTCTGGTGGACCCTTGTACTTGTATGTGTTTGTATTGTGAACCCTTCTATTTGCTCCTTTGTCATCTAATCCCCTGAACCCATCGAAACACAACATTTTAAACACATTTTTTACTACTCCATTGTGTGTGTATAACAAACGCCTGGCACATAATTTTAAAAATAATTATAAAATGACACGTATGATTAAAAAATGACACACATATATATAGTCACTCCACGTCATTTTTCTTTATATTATATTAGATTTATGTAGCAACACTTTTCTTTCCAATTTTTATTTATTTTTTCTATAATTGTCTCCATCCCCACAATTTCACTTCATCCCTTCTAATCTTCCTTACCTTTTCCTTTTTCCTACATCTTCTACTCTTTCCATTGAAGTAAAAATGTTGGCATGACTTCTGATTGTTCACAATCTCATCGGAGTTCGGAGTTGATTTTGAATTTTATCGGATTTGGGGTTTTGGTGGTGACCGGTGGCCTAAGGAAGAGTGGGGGTCTGATTGTTTCTAGTTGTTCACAATCTCGCTGGAGCTCGGGGCTGGTGGCTTTAGGAAGGTCGAGACTTATTGGCTGAGTTGGTTTGGTATTTTTGTTGTTGTTGGTTTTCGCTTATAGTTGCTAGTGGTTGAAGCTTGTTGGAGGCGGTGAGAATGAAGGCGTTTTGGTCGGAGAAGGTGAAGAGGACGAGAGGAAGGAAGTAAGATTGTGTTTGGTTGGATCTGAAATAGGGGTCATTTGAGTGGTGGATAACTGAAACAGGGTCTCAAAAATTATTTGAGTTTTTTTTTGTTGTTTTTGTTTGATTTTCAACTTATCTATGTAGGTTTTTCAATCTATTTTCGAATTTAATTGTTGGTTAATCTGGATTTGATCTTTTATTTGTGTCTTTGTTGGTTTTGGGTTTTAGTCAATTACATTGATTTTCTTGAAATTTTTCTTTGTTTTATGCTTTATGTTAGTGTAAGATGTTTGGGAGTAGTGTTTGCCTTCCATGGCGTGTTTCATAATAAAGAGAGCAGTATAATGACAATAAACAATAGAGAAGAAATTTGGGGGGAAAAGATAAAAAAATAACTGGCCAAGAAAACCTCAAATTCTATCCAACAATGGTGTTAGATCCAACTAGGAAGATGATGGCTAAATAAAAGCCCTAATGTGACTTTTAGACCCTTTTCCAAGGGTCTCATGCTCCTAATAGGTGTGTTTTACACGCACTCTGGTATTAGATGCCACATAGGATGCCAAGTCAGAAATAGTGTTTAAAATATTGTGTTTCAATAAGTTCAGGGGTTTAGATGACAAAGGGGCAAGTAGAAGGGTTCACAATACAAACACATACAAGTACAAGGATCCACCAGACCATTTTGCCTTGTGTATTTTAGGAGATCATGTGCTAATCTTTTTATATGATAAATAAAGGACTATGGCATTGTACGTTGAATTTTGCAGTGAAAAAATAGTTGGATTTGTGCCAGAAATCAGTGGCTTTGAGCAAGCCAAGATAATCTATGAGTAAATATTTGATTGATGCAAGTTTCTCTTACAAGGCAATCCTAGCAGAAAGACCCCCATTAGTGGCCTCAGTCGAAATGATTAAGAGGATGTGAAGTTTTCTTTTTCTCTGTCTAACAATGACTGGTTGATTGAGAAATTCTGGATAATATGTTTTTCTTGGGGTATTCCTTCCCTGGCTAAGAAGAGCTTAATGATCTCGCTAATACGACAGAGGCAAAAGTTAGGTATAATTTGCATAGAACTTCTCTGAGAGAGAAGAAAAAGTTGTGAACATCTCCCCAATATTGATTCCTGGAGGGTTTTAGCTTCTGACTATCAAACATATTATGTTAGAGACCAAGTATAAACTTGGGCTGAATTCCTAAACTTGTATTTACAGGAAGTAATACATGAAGTTTTCTGTCAATAGCAGAAGTTTCATGTTATTCTTCACATAGGATATTTGGGTAGAAAAAGAAAAGGGAAAACTGGGAGAATAACACACCAGAAAAGTCAACTCAAAGATGGCTTCTGCCTTCTGAGGTAGAATTGGTGGACTGAGACGTCGATGCTAGTGATGGCACTTGAAAGGCTTAACTCCGTTTTTTAATAAGCAGAATAAAAGTTTGACCTTAAGGGCATGAGATGCTAGTGGCCCTTTCAGGAAGGTGGTGAACACTGAACAGACCCTTGACCTTGTTTTTGCCTCAGATCTACCTCAAGTCATTTCTTTTTCTTCTTGAGCTCCTTTTCCACAGGTGGATGTCAAATAACAAGAAGTGGCATTTTGTGATTGACATTGAGAACCATACAACTTTGAATAGGACTTCATCTGACACAATCTTTTGTAACTGCCCGGAATTAGCTTTATATTGTCGCTAATTGTTAAAAACCTTTTGTTACTGATATATATATAGACGAGTTCTTAAAATGAACTTGGTAATGAAACCAAAATCGAGTTCTCAATTGTGGCCTTTGTTATTTTCAGACCAAGAATAGGGAAGAGAAAATTCAGTGTCTTCCCGTGAATTAGTGAATTAGACAGGATTTTTTAATTTAGCATAAGCAGTGGATCAATTGCCCCTTGGGCTTTGGTCTAGTTGTAAGATCGCAGCTTGTGATGTGTGGTTAGGTCTATTGGCCCTTGGATTTCTCGGTTATGGGAAAAAAGTGGTGGGTCAATTTTCATAAATTTTATGAATAACTGAATTTGTCATTGTGGAAATAACTTATTATTCAATGAGCATCTTGTGTTTCATAATTACAGAAGGCAATATAATCCACACACACACACATAATGTATATAAGTATTACGGAAGGGAAGTTGCTACTTACATTGCTTATCATCAAAAACATGCAGGTGGAGATGCTCAAAACAGAGATGGAAAGTCACCTGCACCAGCATTTATTATCTGAAAGCCATTGTTGTAGCTTGTTTATGACGAAGCTAGTTGTTTTCTGGCAAAATAACAAGCGGCCACTAAGATCTGTGAAATATCATGCTTCAGTTAGTAGAATGGGAAGGTGATCGTAAGGGGGGAAAGTGGTGTAATTCTGAGTTTTTTTCTAGGAACTTAGTGATTTACAATTGTTTTTTCTCCCTTTCCTCTCTCATGTAGTCTGTTAGGAGGTCGAGATCCAAGTTTAATTTGTGGTATTATTGACGCTGCACCTTTGTTCCTGGGACTATGCCATGAGCTGAGTTTCACTATCTATCAGCCAAATATTTATGAGTTCATGCATTTGGATGTTTGATTGATTCCACTACAGATTAGGCATGGGTATTCTCAGTGAGTTAACAATATGACTAGAGTTTCTTAGTCGCTGTGAAGATCTGATATTTTTAGAGCTTATTTACCTATCAAATGACGTCCTTATATGCAGGTACTAGAACAAAAATTTATATGCTAAAAGATACAAAGTAAATCAAGCACCGATAAGGGGAGAAGTGAGGGGTCGAGTCTAGTTGAATAATCTGTCTTGTGCAAAATTGAGGAAACCTCATTTGTGATTTTTAAAGGTAATCTTAGTCTTGTGCTTTCTCATGTACTAGAGGAACAAATTCCATCTTGTTCTCTGGAGACTCTTGAGCATGTTGTGATAGATAACCATAAAATGTGCATCCAACAAGCGTCACTCCACATGATCCCAGGGAATTCATAGCTGAGATTGGATTTTGGAATATCGCCAAGACTATGTTGATACAAAACACAAATGACATCGGAAAAATTCTTCTCCACTGATCTGTGGGTTCGACCATGATGAGTGGCTTAAGTTTGAGCACTTTGATTACCAATAGCTGAGCATATGAAGTGCACGCAAGATACTGTCAAAGGAAATTTAAACTCCAGTTTCTGCATAGATATATGAGTAGAGTATACAACCATAAGAAATGATATTGCAAGAAAGCATTACACATCTGCAACAACATGATCATATCATCTTTGCAGTTATAATTCAAAAGGAACACGAAGTTACTTTTTTTATGAGAATGGTAACAAAGAAGAAGAAGTTACTTTGCTTCATATAAAGTAACTCTCAATATTTCGAAAGTAGAAAGCATCAAACCTAAAATGCTGAAAAATTCCACCAAGAAGGCATGAACTCATTTACAGGCAATAAACTAAAGTAATTACTGTGTCATTTGAGAAATCCAAGCATAGCAACCAAAAGTCCGATTGATACCCAACTAACGTTGACAACCTTAAAACTGGGGTTGGAATTTGTAGAAAGGTAATGGTGGGAGAGAAGTAACACTGGTGTACAAATTAAGGTCTGTTATCATTTTTGAGGCGTCGTGATTTAAATCATAGAGGAAGCCTGAAGAGAGTGAAGGTTCAACCTATGTTGATCGGACTCTTTAGAAACGTCGACGGGTATGTGTGGGACCCTCCAAAAGTAGTGCATATTTGGAGGATCCGACACGGGTGCAGCAGCAATTTTGAAGAGTCCGAGCAACTTAGGGTTCAAGTGTTTGTTATCAGATATAGTGGGAGGGAGGGAAGAGAGATAGACTTTATTGGATTAAGACATTAGACAAGGATGGTGATGAAAAAGAGACTAGTGCTAACGCCTAGCGGAGGCCTTTGAATTCGTTAGTCAATAAAGGAACTTGTTGAAAGTAGCTAGCAACAACAAAAATGTATTTTTGATGTTTGTTAGGCTCAATTACAGTCTTATTAACAAAACATTCAAACCCTACAATTCATCAACATAAAAGAGACCATCCAAACAAAACAAATAAACATATACACACTCTGCAAAGCAACATTCTTACACTAAACTAAATAACTAATTGAATTGTTTGCAAGAGCCGCCAATGAAGCATTGGCCCTTCTGATAATAATGTAGAAGATCAAATCTTTAACAAATTTCTTCTTAACAAAAATAGAGAACCAGAAATGAAAATTGGAAAAAAAATGGAAGAATGTGTAGGGTCACTCTGTTTTCTTAGGAAATGGATTGGAAGATATAAGGACATGACACGTCTTCCAATGTTTCATCAAGTGTGTAGCATATATATTCTAAATCAATCACAAGAGACAAATTGCACAACATTGAGTTCATTTCATGGATAACCAATCAACTTTTTCTTACTCTAGCGAAAGATAATCAATGAAAAAGAAATATTAAATTAAATTATATACTCTACTTTCTCAATTTTCAAAGGTCAAATAGTTTAAGTTTAATTAAAAATTTATGCGTTAAATTTTTAATTTTTTAAAATGAAATTTATATATTTGTAAACTATGTAAAAAGTATTATATGTCACAATAATTGACAATTCAAAATAATTAAAAGTTTACGATAAAAAATAAATTTGTTTGAATCTCGAAATTCAAAAAATGTCACATAAATTAGGACGGAAGTAGTACATTCTAAGAGTTACTGATGTAACTCAAAAGGTCACTCAAGTTTGAAAAGTTTAGCAAATCATTAAATTATCCTTTGTAATTTCTATCTATAAAAAACACTTTATTTGTCCCTAATTACTTGCCCACTTTTGAATTGACACACCTATTAAGAAAACAATTTTTGACATAGTGAGTTTATCATTTTACACCTATTAATTATGAAGTAGATGAATTACAAAAAAAATTATCTTTTTAAAAGTAATTAATTAAGGGTATAATAGGTAAAAAATATTATTCTTTTTTGATTTGTCAAAATGGACAAGTAATTAGGAACAACTATAAAAGAAAAAGTGGACAAGTAATTAGGGACAGTACAAAGAGTGATTTTCTTATTACAAAAATTATTTAGATATCTCGGATAAAGTTGAATGGTTCTTTTTGTTATAAAAAAAAAAATTTGACTTAAACGTATTTTGCACGTATATGTCAAGCTATGTAGTAGATAGTTTTATAAATTACTATCAGTAAAATTTAAATAAAATTTTCAAATATTGATATATTAAATTAAAAATATAGTATAATTTTTTGTGAATAATCAATGTGATCGATGTATGGTGACCATGAACAATAAAATATTCAATTGGATATTTGTGATTCTTTTAACTTCCAAATTTCTTTCATGAGGTACAAATATGTAGTAAAATTTGTCTACTTAATATTTCATTTAGATAATATTTCTTTCATATATTTCGATTGCTTTGCCATAATCAGACTCTTGTTATAAATATTAATAAAGTTCAATCTTTAAAAATAATAGTTAGGGTTATTTCATTAAAAATGTATTAACAAAAATAATGTATGCATTATATTTACGTATTAATAATATCTTATTTGATATATTTTTTTATAATATGTATTTGTGTATTAAAGTGTGTATTATTAATACCATTAATTTTTAGGTATTAGTAATGCAAGGGAATTTAATATATGCATTAGTATGTTTAAAGACTCAAATTACCCTCAAATCGTTTCTACATCTTTTTCACTATAATTATGGAAGATATCTTAACTAAATATTTTTATGTCATAAATGCTATTTTTAATATATTAAATGGATAAAGGCATAGATTTTTCCCTGAACTTGTACCGAAAAGTCAGTTACACGCTTAAACTATCATGACAACCTATTACACATTTCTGCTATTTAAAAGTGAATTTATTTACCCCCTAAAGCTAACATGCCAAAATAATAATAATTAAAAAAAAATCATGCGCGTCAGATAATTATTAAAGTAAAAAAAAAAAAAATCCTTAAACCCCACCCCCCACATCTCTTCTTCTTCGCACCACACCCTCCTCATCTTCTTCACAAATCACACCCCTATTAAGCTTAAAATAAACCAATAACAAGAAACAACCAAGCAATAAATTACTTCAAAAAGGAGTAAAATTTTGGGAGGTTTCAATCGGTGGGGCTTCGGCGGACGTTTTTGAGTATTGAGTGATCGATTGAAAATGGAAAGAAAATTATTTATTATCTCTATCTTTTTAAGAAATCTCCAGGAAGAACATGGAAAAATAACAAAAAATGTATGCCCAAATCTGAAAAATATTTACGACTACAAGCCGCAACAAATAACAATGAAAGCTTAGTTTTCATGGCCAATCAATGGAAGAAACTGAAGCAACCTTCTTGTGGATGCATTTTGGAATGGAAGAACTCTTCCACTCCACAAATCAACCCCAGATTGCGGGCAATTTCCTTGGTGGTCATTGCTAAAAGTTTCTTCTTTACCATTTTACAATGAAGAAGATAGAATTATTAGAGAATTTTAATAATTGATTAGGAATTAATTAGTGTAAAATATAATTAATAAAATAAAAGTTAAATAATAAAGAAAAGAAAGTAAAAAAGATATAAAAAAAATACAATTTCTGACATGGCGCTGACGTAGCGGTGATGTGACAGCGAGTGTAATACACCACATACTACGAGAGTGGTGTTGCACATAGCAGGGTGGTATTAAATTCATTTTTAAGTAGTAAAAATGTGTAATAGGTCGTCATAATAGTTAAAACGTATAACTGACTTTTCAAGACAAATTTTGAGAGGAATCTATGTCTTTTCCCTATATTAAATCAAACAAGGTAGAAGAAATAGTCTACAAACATAATTAATGCAGCCATTAGTGGCTTATAGATTCCAGCTAATTTCAGATCCACATCAATGGCAAAAAATAATTCCCAACATTACCAACTAATACGAATTGTTATAATTTTATTAAATTTATATAAATTATAAATATTTAGATTATTTAGAAGGATATTAAAATCTTTTAAATTTTGATAATAACTAACATTATTTTGCTTAGACATATAACAGTCGCAAATAAGCAAAACAAGTAGAGAATTTCTGCTGATAAAATGTATGAAAAATGTATCTAAAGATTTGAGGCGAATTCTTATCATCCTTTTCGTAAATTAAAATAATTAACTAAAACTTTCTTGATAAATCAGAATAACATAGTAAAACAACTTCTTTGAAAATGTTTATAAGTAGTTAACACTTTTTAAAAATCTAGTTTAGATAGATATAAGAGCTTTTAACAAACTAGAAAAAAAAGGATAAAATAAACAATTTAAAGATCGACATAACTTTCATTTGAGAATAAATAGAGGAAAGCTAATAATGAGTAACCGTTAATTCCCATGCTTCAAACAACTTGAAACAACCTACACTAACAAAAGGTGTAGCAAGAGTGGTATCAGTACCAACATGAGTTGTGGTGCAGTGATGGATTGATTCACTCTTAATCATAAGTCTCGTGTTCGAGTCTTGAATTGTAGAAAATCTTGTTGAAAGTGTCACCCTCGAATGAACACTAAATAAAAAATATA